TAATAATTAATTAATGAGTTTAATTTGCAAAAATCATAACCGTTGATTGGCGGAAATCAACGGTTATGATATATGCCTGGAAGAGATTGTAAAAAAAATGTTGTAACTATAACCTCTCCCTTACTTTTAATGTGAAATGCATAGCTAAATGTATGTAATGCAATGGAGCTTAAAGAGACACTGTCTGATACAATAAAATGTGTAACAAAAATCTAAAAACACCCAACCCAAAGACTTTGCTTCCAATCTTCAATTTGAGAGAGTTTTCACTAAGTTTTGACATCATCAAAATACTTAAGCATGTAGGAGGTCCTTCAATCTCCCCGTTTTTTTTTTTTTTTTGATAACACAATCTCCCCTTTTTTATGATGGCAATATATACTCAAATCTAAACAAATAAAACTGATTATTATTAAAACTGATTTTTGATTTTTATCAAACTTGAAAAACCATGACAATCATAAGCTCAATGTAAACTCCCCCTAACAATATGCATAGGCTCAATTTGACATCCATATTTTCTCATGTTTTTTTCCCCTTTGACATTATCAAAAACAATAATAGCATGTAATAACATAAAGCATATAGAATGAAGCATAATGAATAAAAGACATTTTCAAAGCAATGATGTACATATTTCATGATGATGGATCCAAAAGTCCTAATTCCATACACAATCTTTCATAGGTATCTCTACGTAATGGTTTTGAAAAAATATCCACTAATTGTTTAGCTGTTGCAATAAAATTTATTTCAACTTCACCTTTACCAACATGATCACGAATAAAACGATGACAGATATCAATATGTTTAATGCGTGAATTCTGAATGAGATTCTTAGTTAGATTAATAGCACTTGTGTTACCACACAAGATGGGAACAGTTTCAAGTTTTAAACCATAGTCCAGAAGTTGTTGCTTTATCCAAAGAACTTGGCAGCATAGCTACCTGCAACTATAGACTCTGCATCCGCAATGGATAGAGCTACACTAGCTTGCTTCTTATTATGCCAAGAAACTAAAGTGTTTCCAAACAAATGACAGGTGTCTCTCATGCTTTTCCTATCCAACTTGCATCCAGCAAAGTCGACATCGGAAAGCCCAACTAGGCTTGGTGGAAATCCCTTAGGATACCATAATTCCAGAAGACTAGAACCCACCAAATAACAAAAAAATTCTTTTAACAGCAGCTAAGTGGGATTCTCTAAGGTTAAATTAATATCGTAGACATATGCAAACGACAAACAAAATATCAGGTCTAGAGGCGGTCAAATATAAAAATGATCCGATCATACCTCTATACCTTGTAGAATCTATCGATTTATGTCTTTGTGAAATGTACATGTAGAGCTCGTGGGTGTGCCTATATGCTTTGCAGAGTCCATCCCAAATCTCTCTAGGAGGTCCTTGCAATACTTTGTTTGATGAATGTATGTGTTATCCCTTTCTTGCTTGATTTGGAGGCCAAGGAAAATGTGAGTTCTCCCATCATACTCATCCTGCATAATCTTAGAAAACTATTCACGTAGAGATGCATTAGTAGAACCAAAAATAATGTCATCCACATAAATCTGTACTAATAGTGTGTGATAATGCTTTTTCTTAATAAAAAGTGTTGTGTCAACTTTACCACTGATAAATTCATTCTCGAGTAAAAATTTACTTAGACTATCATATCATGCCCTAAGTGCTTGTTTTAAACCATATAATGCTTTCTTTAACCTATAGACACAAAATTTTCAAAACTAGGAGGTTGCTTAACATACATTTCTTCATTAATATAGCCATTGAGAAATATATTTTTAACATCCATTTCATACAACACAAAATCACGCAGACATGCATATGCAAGCAATAGCCTAATAGCTTTTAGCCTAGCTACTGGTGCATATATTTCATCATAATCAATGCACTAATAGTATTTTGAAAAAAAAAAATGTTTAGACTTAGCTTATGAAAAAAAATGTTCAAATTTTTTGAAAAAAAATGGATCCTCTCATGTTAAAAAAAATAACATGGTCATGTGGATAATCACAACCATATAAAATTAAATCAACAGTTGTGATTTTGTAACTACGTATTAAATATATTTTTTCTCTTCCTTTATCACCATTGATATACTTTTGTATAATTATGATTGTCTACATGACCATGCCATATTTTTTCGAACATAAGAGGATCTAGATCCATTTGACTCTGGTGGTTTAGTAGCTTTAGTTTCCTAGTTAGAATTTCCAAGAAGATGAATAATGATGTTGCTCTACTTGTGATAAAATCTCGTCAGAAGTACCTTACTCTCAAATGATTACACATTATTTTGTATTTTATTATCTGATGTAACTAAACTCATTAAAAAATTTATACACTTAAGCTCTTATTCTATCACTTTTTCGTATGTGAGAGATGCAAATAACGACTATTTGATCATTTGAGGCATTACCATATATATTTTAAGGGAAATCAACTTGTTTTGTTGTAGGGAAATTACTGTTCACGTCTGCAGAGGCATTGAAAAAGGAGATTGTGTTTATTTATTTATTTTATTTTATGTTTTAGTGGATCCCACCAAAGTTTTTTATCTTCATAGTATGAACATTAATTTTCCTGCAACTTGACAAATTGATTTCCCATATTTTCTATGCTTGATATGTTCCCAAAATTATTATTTGGTGGGTGTTTTGTTCCACAAACTAACGCTAGCAAAATTGCTTTTATATTTTTTTAACAAGTTTTGGCGAATTTCTTTTGTAAACTCATTAATTTTTTTATTTTTGTTTTTAACGGTGTTAAGGATGTGTTTGGACTAAAAACAACTACAATGAATATATATGATGAAAAAAAGATAAGTGATTCGAAGTAAAATTATAGGAAGATTTTTTAATTTTTCCCTTAATTTTATTATAAAAATATAATTCTAGTTATAAAAAATATTTCAAACATAATAAATAAGATTAATAAGTTTCAATTACAAACTCTAATAGTTGCAAATCCATGAAGAATTGATCAAGTGACATTTAGTGTATATTTCATGAAATAAAAACCATTATTTTAATAAAAATCAGTTCCGGTAACCATTAGAATTGACACGTCTATACATTTAGTAATTAATTTTAGGGATGTGTAAAATAATAAAAAAACTGAACCGAATCATGGACCGAACCGATCCTTAAAATAATCTGTTTTTAAAAATCAGTTCATGAACCGAACTGATTTTTAAAGAATCAGTTCATGAACCGAACCGATTTTTAGAACCAGTTTAAGAACCGAACCGGTTTTTAAAACCAGTTTAAGAATCGAACCATTTCGAACCGAACCGAACCGTTTTCAAACCGAACCAAATTGATATTTATAACTTTATTTTTTAAATTTTTATTTTTTTTCTTTTCAAAAGAGGATCGACCCAAATCGGTTCTGAATCGAACCATTTCCGAACCGGTTTCAAATCGAACCGTTTCCAACCGAACGGAACCACTTTCGAACCGAACCATTTAAACTATTTCGGTTCGATTTTTCAAAAAATCCTGTTCGGTTCAACCCATTCACATCCCTAATTAATTTCTCCAAACGATATTATTCGAGAGGTTTTTTAAAACTATTAGCTAACAATGTAAAAGACTAAAAGAACATAATAGTGATAGCTGCATATATAATTTTCTCCAGTCATCAGAGATAAAATTATCTTCAGTTAGCTCAAAACGACGTCGTTTTGGAATTATAAAATTAAAAAACTATAATGATAAAGACTAATATAACCCTGCAATATATTACAATTACAAAAATACCTTGATTTCTGTTTCAAAACGACGTCATTTTGGACTCACTGAGATAACTTATCTCCATTGACGGGAGATATCATTTGCCCAATTATTATATTAATTACTTCAATGTTAGCTCTTTGTTTAAAAATAATAAATAAAAATATATTAGAATATATATAGATATATGTATGTATGTATTTATTGTTTTATCGAAAAAAATATAAAATATACAAATAATTATTTTACATAAATTTACAATTATACGCTCCAGCTATTTTCACGTAACGGATAACGTATAAATTGCAATACATATTACATATAGTAATATTAGATATGCAATTGCGACTGCACCGCGTAGCGTGTTTTTGTAACATTTGGAAACTTCAACATATGAGAACAGAAATGTACGTCAGCATAGACTCGCTCGCTGGCAATGCGTTATGCGTCCTTAAGTTATTTATTATTGCACTGACCAAGTCTATTTTTTTTTTTTTCGTTTAAAAATAAAAGAAAGCATAGTTTTAAAAGTTTTAATCTGTTTTAAATGATTTATTATTCAAATAATTAAAAAATATTATATATATATATTATATAAAATAAAAAGAAAGCATTGATAAAGTTTATATGTTTGTAGATAAGTTCGTAACTCTTTAACTTATTTTTACTAAATAGCTTATACGTGGGCGAGACCCATTTTTCTTTCTATAAATTTATTTTTTACTTTTTATTTTTTTCTCTCATTTTTTTATTTTTTATTTTTGGTTAATGAGGGGGCCGGCTAAGCCCAATTATTTTTTATTTAGATTTATTGGCCACTGAGTCACTGACCCCAATTAATTTGGGATAATTATATTATTATTTTCCACTTCAATCACATTCCAATGTTATATCTAATGTTGGAGACATAAAATAATAGTCATAGAATAAAATTAATCTCTTGACACAATCCAAGCATTGACTGACTTAGCGCTTGTGCAATGAAGCATTATTTTCTTCCAAGCGTACCTGGTCAGTCTTCGTTTCGAGGTCATAGATGAGTCTTTGAAAGAACAAGCAACTAGATACTCTTTTCTTCACAAGTTATATAAATAACCCTCTTGCCATAGACGAGCCTCTGAAAGAACCAGCAACTAGATACTCTTTTCTTCACAAGTTCTACAAAATGGGCCATATTCAAACCTACAAAAACTTTAATTTTGAGCACGATCTCTATTTTTGTCAAGTTATGATGAGATTGAAAGCTATGCATATGCTACTGACCCTGTTGTTGGTGATTGCAATATTGGCAAGTGTAGGATCAACTGTAATTGATGACGAAGCCCTTCCCGGGTGCAAAAACACTTGCGGAAATGTTTCAATTCCATATCCATTTGGCATAGGCGTATCAACTGTCACAAGTGAAAACTGTTTCTTGGAGGAAGAATTGCAACTCAGGTGCGACAACAAGTCTACTTTATACCGCGGTAACGACAGTAACGTTCAGATTTTGAACATAACCCTCCAAGGTCAAATGGACATGTTATTTTCCGTCTCCAAGTTTTGCAAATTAGGATCTCATACTTTACCAGAAACAAGAATAAAAACACTATCTGATATAAAAAAAACACAAGGTAATGAACAGATGCTTAGTACTCCAGCTTTCACCATTTCTAGCGAGCATAACAAGTTTATTAGTGTAGGATGTGACACTTACGGCTATCTCAATAGTTTTCGTGACGGTAATAAGTATTCAACCGGGTGCTTAACAAGATGTAATAGCAATTATATCATAGGTGATGATATGCTAAGCGATGGAAACTGCACGGGGATAGGGTGTTGCCAGGTTGATATTCCTCCAAGAATGAACAATATTAGTTTACAAACATTTAGCTTTAACAATTTCAGTGACTCTTCGGAGTTCGACAATTGCAGCTCTTCCTTTGTTGTCAAAAATGGTTACTATAAATTCTCTCTGAGTGATTTAAAGGATTCCCCACACGAGGAACTTCCCTTAGTAGTTGATTGGGCTGTTGGAAATGGCACGTGTGAAAATTCAAGGAGGGAAGCCAACAATGCATGCAAGAAGAATAGCGATTGTGAGGACTCGGCCACTGGATATGGTTACCGATGCAAATGTAAACAAGGTTATGAGGGAAACCCGTATCTTCCTGCTGGTTGCCAAGGTAATTTTTTTTATTTTTTTATTTGATTTTCTTTGCTCATTATATACCACTGTTCTCAATTTTAATTAAGAAAGTTAATTATTCTTGCTATTTATCAACTCTGCTTGCTATTTTACCCAATATTTCGCTTAATCAAAAACATCAGTTTTGATTTATATACATCTGTTTTTTTTTTTCTTTTAATTTCTAACGGACTTTTTTATTTTAATAGTATAATGTTTATTTTTTTTAGTTTAAAAAAAAGAAAAAATAGAGATGTGTGTTACAAAATGTATTTTTTGTGTTATTAATTATTTAAAAAAGTAGTAATGTGAAAATAGTATATTCAAAATAGAGTATAATTTTTATTTTTTTTTGGAAATATAGAGTATAATTTCAAAGCATATAATGATATGCCTACTCAAGATACGCCCGTAATATTAAAAATTTATCCCTAGTCAAGCCGTAGAAACAGTCAGACAACTGAAATCTTACGATTGGTTGACTTGTATTATTGACTTCAGAAATTTCATGAATAATAATGTTATTCTTAAATTTGAAATCGTATATTTCAATTTTAGTTTTGAGTAAATACATTTTTTGGTCCTCAGCAAATTTCACGATACCCGCTTTAGTCCCTAGCAAATAAAAAAGCTATCCGTGGTCCCTAAAAAATTCAAAATGAACTCATTTAGTTGAAATCATGGTTCCTCATAAATTCAAAAAAGATCTACGTTAGTCCTTCAAAATGACTAAAATAGGTCCATTTTAAATTTTTTAAGAACCACGAATAACCTTTTTATTTACTAGAGACTAAAGCACACATCATAAAATTTGGACCGAAAAAGGTATTTAATCTTTGGCTTTTACATCAATTTTCTATAGAAAATGGATCAGTGCATGTGTTTCTCTCTCTTCCCAATTTGTTACATTAAATGTAAAAGAATATAAAATAATAAAACTTTTGTATAACAAAATGCTCTAACAGGAATATTTACTTTAGTAATGAATGTGCTTGATAATAAAGTTATTTCTGTGACGGACTTGCAGATATTGATGAATGTAAGACATCAAACAATACATGCCTAAGTGAAAATAATTGTCACAACACCGATGGGTCTTACAAATGTTTCTGTCCTAAGGGGAAATATGGAGATGGAACAAAGGACGGAGGGTGCCACCGACGAAATATAGTTACCCAGGTTGTCATTGGTAAGCAACTAAGCGCATCCAACTCGATTATATTTCATTTTATTCTTTGTTTTTTCAACTCTTTTTAATGTTTCTGTTCATTCAGTATGTAAGCTTTTGATATTAGTTCATTGAAAAATTCAATAATTGCGTGCAAAATATTTCAAATGCAGGAACAGGTGCAGGATTCATGGTTCTAATTGTGGGAATTTCCTCACTGTACTTAATATACGAGAAAAGGAAACTCGTCAAACTGAAGGAGAAGTTCTTTAAGCAAAATGGGGGTATCATTTTGCAACAACGACTCTCTGCAGGAGAAAACACTTCTCAATCTACTACAGTGTTCTCAGCAGAGGAACTTAAGAAGGCCACCAACAATTATGATGAGAGCTTAATCATCGGCAGAGGAGGTTATGGTACTGTTTACAAAGGAATTTTGTCAGATAAGAGAATTGTTGCCATCAAGAAGTCCAAAATTGTGGATCAGAGCCAAATTGAGCAATTCATAAACGAGGTGATTGTGCTATCACAAATTAATCACAGGAATGTGGTCAAACTCTTGGGTTGTTGTTTAGAGACAGAAGTTCCTTCACTGGTTTATGAATTTGTTAACAATGGTACCCTTTTTGATTATATACACAAAGAAGGCAAGGCAGGTAATGTATCTTGGAAAACAAGGCTAAGGATAGCAGCAGAGGCTGCAGGGGCTCTATCATATCTGCACTCAGCTGCTTCTATACCCATTATACATAGAGATGTAAAGACTGCAAACATTCTCTTGGATGACACTTACACTACTAAAGTGTCTGATTTTGGAGCATCAAGATTGGTTCCTCTTGATCAAACTGAATTAGCCACATTGGTGCAAGGAACTCTTGGTTATTTGGACCCAGAGTACATGCAAACAAGCCAACTTACTCAGAAAAGTGATGTGTATAGCTTCGGAGTAGTGCTTGTAGAGCTGCTTACAGGGGAAAAACCTCTTTGTTTTGACAGGTCAGAAGAGAAAAGAAGTCTTGCTATGCACTTTCTATCTTGCTTGCGAGAGGATCGCTTGTTTGAGGTTCTTCAATTTGGCATTTTGAATGTAGAAAATAAGGAGGAGATCAAGGAGGTTGCTATTCTTGCCACAAAGTGCTTGAGACTAAGAGGGGATGAGAGGCCTAGCATGAAAGAAGTGGCAATGGAGTTGGAGGGGATAAGGCTAATGGAAAAGCATCCATGGATCAACACAGATATGAGTCTAGATGAGACTCATTACTTGCTTCATGAGGCATCATCTAGCATTCATGAACATGGTGATAGCAGCAGCCATCAAAATACTGGGTATGACAGCATCAAGGATCATGTACTCATTGACTTCGATGATCATGATGGAAGATGATTATGCTTCCATTTCACTTTTTTTTTTTTTTTTGTATAGTACTTCCACTTCACTTTAAAACAATGTTCAGCATATTTCTACTTCCACTAATTGGCCTATAGTTTTAATTCAAATATGTGATTCAATCTCTTGGGGTTAGCATGCATCCTTTTTGTAATCCAGTTGCATTTAATACCTTCAATGGTGATTGTTAACAACCTTGAGTAGGGGTTAAAGTGGGCTGGGTCAAGCTTTGCCTCGAAAAGTTCAAGCCTACGTCAAAAATTTTAATTTAGCCTGGCTCAAGCCTAGTATGAGTCTAACAGTTAGCCTAATTTGGCCCGTTTATAAAAAAAACAAATGGCCTGGCTTGGCCCGTTAGCCTGTTAATTTTTAACTTCCAAGCATAACCATGAATCAACTTTACAAAGTACTCAAATTCTGTTGCTACTCCAAAAATCATAATTTCAACGTCCAAGCAGAATCATGAATCATAACAAAACTAATACAATATGCATTTAAGTCATTTCTAAAAGCAAAATGCTCAAACTAAATAACATATATTTCATCAAATAAACAAATCCATACTATGTAAATTAAAATAACTACATGAATCCAACAAACACATCATGATGCTTGTAGTAAGTATAACCTCTCTCAAAAATCTTTTAATATATTCATATACATAATCTAACATGTTGAGATGTTGGTTCCTCCTATATAAGAAATAAAGTAAGATTTTTATTAAAATATAATTGAATATAATTAAGTTATAAATAATTGCACTGGATTAAATTTATATCTTTTTTTTTCTTCAAGACATACTCTATTTTATTTTATTTAAAATAAATAGTACAATATAGGCCGGTCTGTAGGCTTATAGGCCCGGCCTTTTGAAAGTGAGCCTACGGCCTTTTTTATTAAACAGGCTTTTTTAAAGCCCGAGCCCGGCCTATTATACAAAATATACTAAGTCAGGTCTAGCTTGATGTAGGTCGAGCCGAAGGCCCCTGTAGGCCGGCCCAGCCCGGCCCAGTTTCACCCCTAACCTTGAGGTCACCACCCCAAAAGCTAGCTCAAAGGGTGGGAGTGCCCAAGACCTTATAAATCTCACATTAGTTGTCCATACAACCAATGTGGGACTATATTTCTCAACACGTCCCCTCACACGAGAGCCCACTGGGCTTGAAGGGTGGACAACATACAAGCCCACCTACATATGGAAATTCCACTACAAAGAAAGTGGGATGCGGGGAGATTTCGAACGCTCTGATACCATGTTAAAAACCTCGAGGTCACCACCCCAAAAGCTAGCTCAAAGGGTGGGAGTGTCCAAGGACTTATAAACCTCACATTAATTGCTCATACAACCAATGTGAGACTATATTTCTCAACACACCCCCTCACACGAGAGCCCATTGGGCTTGAAGGGTGGACAACATACAAGCCCACCTACATGTGGAAATTCCACTACAAAGAAAGTGGGAGGCGGTGAGATTTCGAACGCTCTGATACCATGTTAATAACCTTGAGGTTACCACTCCAAAAGTTATTGGAAGTGCTCAAGGCCTTATAAACCTCACATTAGTTGCCCATACAAGCAATGTGAGACTATATTTCTCAAAATTGATGATTTGGTTTTTGGCAATTTCTAATTCTTCCCATTTGTGTAATTAGACCCATGCATGTGCTTTGTGCAATGTGAAGAGAGCTTCCTTGGCTTAAATGGGACCACGTCATGCAGTTTTACCAATCCTTATATTCCTTTCATGTAAGCTAATCCGTCTTGGCAAGTTTTTTAAAAATAATCGGATAGGCTAATTAATCCGTCTTGTTTTATCGCCACTAAATAATAAAATAAACGGAAAAAAAATAAAAAGTGAATGGGATGAGCGGTGAAGTTTGGAAAATTGTCACCTGCCTTCATCTTTTTTTTTTGGAAGATCTACTTACTTTCTAATGACTTGTTGCCATGAGAAAGATCAACCAAAATAGTTGGATAAGATTGATTTTATTTCGCTATTGACCGTTTCTTCCTAGGAAATTCATAACATCTTTAAATGTATGGAGTTCATCTTCTAATAAATATGTTAGAAAATCAAGTTTGAAATACATTTTTGTCATTTGTACATTAATACCTCTTAGGCTTTTCTTACCCGTTGCGGCGGACCCAAAATTTTTTATTTATGTCTGCACTTGGGGAGATTTCGAACGCTCTGATACCATGTTAAAAACTTTGAGGTCACCACCCCAAAAGCTAGCTCAAAGGGTGGGAGTGCCCAAGGCCTTATAAACCTCACATTAATTGCCCATACAACCAATGCGAGATTATATTTCTCAACACACCCCCTCACACGAGAGCCCATTGGGCTTGAAGGGTGGACATCATACAAGCCCACCTACATGTGGAAATTTCACTACAAAGAAGGTGAGAGGCGGTGAGATTTCGAACGCTCTGATACCATGTTAATAACCTTGAAGTCACCACCCCAAAAGTTAGCTCAAAGGGTGGGAGTGCTCAAGAACTTATAAACCTCACATTAGTTGCCCATACAAAACAACGTGAGACTATATTTTTCAAAATTGATGATTTAGTTTCTGGCAATTTCTGATTCTTCCCATTTGTGTAATTAGATCCATGCATGTGCTTTGTGCAATGTGAAGAGAGCTTCCTTGGCTTAAATGGGACCACGTCATGCAGTTTTACCAATCCTTATATTCCTTTCATGTAAGCTAATCCGTCTTGGCAAGTTTTTTAAAAATAATCGGATAGGCTAATTAATCCGTCTTGTTTTATCGCCACTAAATAATAAAATAAACGGAAAAAAAATAAAAAGTGAATGGGATGAGCGGTGAAGTTTGGAAAATTGTCACCTGCCTTCATCTCTTTTTTTTTGGAAGATCTACTTACTTTCTAATGACTTGTTGCCATGAGAAAGATCAACCAAAATAGTTGGATAAGATTTATTTTATTTCTCTATTGACCGTTTCTTCCTAGGAAATTCATAACATCTTTAAATGTATGGAGTTCATCTTCTAATAAATATGTTAGAAAATCAAGTTTGAAATACATTTTTGTCATTTGTACATTAATACCTCTTAGGCTTTTCTTACCAGTTGCGGCGGACCCAAAATTTTTTATTTATGTCTGCACTTGGGGTGCTGGCCCCCAAATTTTCTTTTTAAAGAAAGTTCAAAATATCTCATATAATTTTACTTTGAATAGCTTATATACCCTTATGTTTTTTTTTTAATCACTAATCCCCTATTATTATTTTCATCCAAATCCATCATTAACACCATTATAAACTTAATTAATCTACCTATTTTACCTTTATTAAAAAAATAAACTGGTGACAAAAAAGAACAAATACAACCAAATATATTTGGAAATTTACATCACTTACATAAAAGATTAAAAGTAAAAAGAAAATGCAAATAGAAAAAGTATATGTAAATCAAGAAAAAAAATAGACCGGGGACAAAATATAGAAAAAAAATAAGATCAAATATGTCGATAGTGAAACATTATTGAATGAAAAAAAAAACCAATTTTATGTACAAGTATTTTTTTAAAAATATTTTCACATAAATGTTTTAATATATATATATATATATATATATATATATATATATATATATGTATATATAACCAATATAAAAATTATAAATTCAAAGAGAAAAAATTTATTTTTAAAAAAATATGTATAACTAATACAACATAATTTAAATTATAAATTTAAATAAACAAAATGACATCTTTCATTCTGTAAAAAATAAAATATAAAAACTCAATCACGGTAAAAATGAATGACCATTCAATAATCAGTGACCATCCAACTCCGACATCCTAAAAAATGTTTGTCATTAAGTATTTTATAGACTTTTTAATGCATCCCACTAATTTCTACATGAAAAATTATTAAGCTTATTAATAATATTTTTTATGGATAGCCTGTTAATAATATTTATTATTATGTCTATGAGATTGGAAAATATTTAATATTTAAATTTAAATTTTTTAAATTTGAATATTGAACTTGATGGGTGAAAAACGAGTTCAGCATTTAATGTTTCTTTAGTGAAAAAAAAAATATATATAATAAATTTAAATTTAATACAAAATTATAGATTCAACGAAAAAATATTGAAAATTATGAAAATATATGTATAGTTCATAAAAAAATAATTTAAATTTGAAATTTAAATAAAAAAATAAGAAATCACATATTTATACTTTAAAAGAAACTAAATTAAAAATTTAACTTAAAAAATAATACAAAAAGAAAAAAAAACTTTTCTGTACAAGTATTTTTAAATTTGTTTTTAACTTAAACGTTTTACATATTATTTTAATGTTCCACACTACTTTTTACATTATAAATTATTAAACCTATTAACAATATTTGTTATTATAACTATTGGATGGAAAAAGTATTTAATATTTAAAATTCAAACTTTTCAAATTTGAATTTTGAACTTGATGGTTGGGAAAAAAGTTTAGCATTTAATGTTTCTGCAGTCGGAAAAAAAAATATAATAAACTTAAATTTAATATAAATTATAGATTAAATGAAAAAAATATTTAAAATTATAAAATTGTATGTATAGTTGAAAAATATATTTTAAATTTGAAATTTAAATGAAAAAAATAAAAACATTACATATTTTGAATTTAAAATGTATGTATAGTTGAAAAATATATTTAATATTTAAAATTCAAACTTTTTAAATTTGAATTTAAACTGATGGATGGGAAAAAAATTTAGCATTTAATGTTTCTACGCTGAAAAATGGAAGGGGCAGGATATACTTACCTATGACGTACCGACACTTCAAAATTCCTGACGTGTCGTGTCCGACACTTTTCGACACTCGCCGACACTCCGACACTTCTCGACACTCTGACACTTCTCGACTCTCCAATACTCCTTGCAAAGA